CCAATCGAAGCTCCGGAATCGTTACTGGTGGTAAGGTACGAGCTGCCAAGCGTCTGCCTAGAAAATCCCATACATGCTTGATGGGATTGAGATCCGGAGATCATGCCGGCCAATCCATACGTTCAATATCCTCACTCTCTAAGAGCTGTTCGGCAGCTACTGTGCGATGACATGGTGCATTGTCATCCATGAAAAGGAACTGCGGACCCATAGCGCCTCTAAAAAGACGCACATATGGAAGAAGAATCTCGTTACAATCTGCGTCGCAGATGTGAAGGTCTGTACGACTACCAAGCATGATGCCTCCCCAAACAAGAACATCGCCACCTCCATACCTGTCCCTTTCAATGATGTTCAAGGGATGATTGCGGCTTCCCCGCTCTCTCCAGATGAGTATGCGATGAGAATTGCTACTCAGACTGAATCTGCTCTCATCTGTTAAGAGTACTCGTCCCCGTTCATTGTCTCTCCAATTCCGGTGTTCCCGGCACCACAGAGAACGCCGATGGGCTTCCCCGATGGGCAGGCGTTAGAGGTACACACCGTACAGGGCATTGTGCAAACAGACCACCACCATGCAGTCTTCTGGCCACGGTAAAACGTGATATCGGTCGTCCAGTCGCCCGTGTCGTGTGTCTAGCGATTTCTCCCGCTGTCTGCCGCCTGTTTCATGTGGCCTGTAAGGCAATATACCGGTCATCTGCGGGTGTGTTCTGGACGACCACACTACCCCCGGATAGCTGTTCCTGTAGTTTGAAATTGTCTCCAAAGTCTGAAACAATGCTGTGGCAATTCCGAACTCTCGCCACACTGTCACACTGCGGCCTTCCTCCAACTTCCCAATGATTCGACTCAGGTAAAGCCCAGATGTCGTCTGAACTACATGTATTTGTGGATGCTTGCAAGGGGGCGTATGCAGCGTGCGTCTTTGTTCGATCAGTATTTAATTCTGAAGTAAAAATAAATCTCGTACGGGCGAAGTCTAGAGTATCGCCTTTGAAATCTTTAAGCATTCCTCGCTTAGAATTAATGGCCTGTTGTATAGGTTCTAGACTTGCAAATTCTATTATCAAGGCTCTCAGTTTGCCCGATTTAAAAGTTACCTTCTGGTCTGATTCCACCACTGCCCTTTGGTGGATAACAGAGCAAGGAAATTGGTCCTGTTTTCGTCGAAAATAGGGTTAAAGAGATTCGAGAGTTGACGCGAGGTCATTCATGGAGACATGTCCCAGGGAAACTGAATATTGCCGACTTGTTATCGCGCGGATGTTTTTGCGAAGCAATGCTTCGGTCTAGATGGTGGGAAGGCCCCTTGTGGTTGCGAGAAGGCCCTGAAAACTGGCCCACTGGTGAGATTATTTGTTTGCATGAAGAAAGTAGAATTGGAGAGGAAAAAGATAAAAATAGTGAATATTGATCTATCAAAAGACGCACCCCCTTGGCATCGAATGAGTGTATCCAATTATGATAAAATGATTAGAATATTTAGATTTGTAAATAATTGTAAAGATGGTTCTGAAAAGAATAGAAACATTGAACTTTCACAGTATGAAATTGAAAATTCTGAGAAAAATTTTAATTCGTTTGGTTCAAAATTATTATCTGACTGATAAGAAATCTTATAATTTTATTGAAACGCTCATTGATGATGATGGTATTCTGAGAGTTAAAACGAGAATACTAAATAGAGATGACCATGAATCCTTTCTGTATCCAATACTGTTACCAGAAAAATGTGATTTCACTAAGTTATTAATCAGAAATGTACATAATAAGAACTGTCATGCTGGTCTTCAGATGATGCAATGTATATTACGAGAAAGATTTTGGATAGTCAGAGCTAGAAAGGCCATTAAAAATGTCCTCTTTAACTGTATCGTTTGTAAAAGATTTAAAACTAAGGCTATGTCAAGCGAACCGACACCTCTGCCACCAGACCGAGTTACGGATTGTGCGCCGTTTGAAATCATAGGGATTGATTTGGCTGGACCCCTGTTTTTAAAAAATGGAGGAAAGGTGTGGATCGCGCTGTTCACGTGCGCTGTGTACCGTGCCATTCACCTTGAACTTGTAAATTCTCTTTCTACTGATGCTTTTCTTCTGGCGCTTCGACGATTTGTTGCTAGGCGCGGACGCCCTAGAATAATCTATAGTGATAACGGGACAAATTTTCGGGGTGCATCTAATGATTTATCAAAACTAAATTGGGCTAAAGTATTAAAGGAAACGGGAACTGAAAAGGATACTCTGGAAATTTATTCCACCTACTGCAGCTTGGTGGGGCGGCTGGTGGGAGAGGTTGGTTCGTACAGTAAAAGAATTGCTGAAACGTACTTTAGGTAAATCAGTGTTATCATATGAAGAACTTTATACTATTATTTGTGATTGTGAAACTATAATTAATTGTAGACCCTTAACTTATGTTTCTGAAGATCCACAAGAATTAGTCCCTCTGACACCCGCCATGTTTCTTATCGAGAACAGAAATTCCAATGTTGAAGATCTTGATGAATTAAATTCGTCAAGTCTTAATAAGAGATTAAAGTATAGAACTAAATTGTTAAATGATCTGAGACAACGATTTAGAAAAGAATACCTTAGTCAACTGGTTCAAAAGCATAATGAAAAACGATCTCGGGAACCTGTAGTAGGAGAAATAGTACTGATGGGGGATGATAACAGAAAACGTTTATTTTGGCCTTTAGCCCGAATTACAGAATTGATCCCTGGACGTGATGGAAAGATTCGTACGGTTAAACTTAAGACCCGGCATGGAACAGTTATACGACCAATACAACGCATCTTTCCTCTGGAGATACAGGCCAATGACAGAAACATAATTCCTGATAAGAAACTGGGTGCAGAGGAATCTAATTCTAGTGCTGGGTGTACGTTAAAAAGGGAATTGCACCTGATAAAATGGTGATGCAACAATATTCCTCCTCTGGACGACTTGTAAAAGCTCCAAAAAGACTTGATCTTTTAAATAATGTTTGTTATGAGTTTGAGACTCAACCTGAGTCTCAAGGGGGGGAGGATGTTGTGAAATGAACTGAAGTAATAACCGGTGCGAGGCGCTCCTGTTTGTGACGTCAGCCTGCGTGCTGAGTGTTTTCGAATGTTTTGCTTGTAGACGGAACGAAAGCTGATCTCGGAAGAGTGATACTGTTTTGATGGAAATAAAGAATGGCTCATTAAGAATTTTTTATCTTTATTCATAATGCACCCAGTTAGGGTAGAGGCAGCCCGCAACCGAACGAACTGTTTTATTATATTTGATTTATATATTTTCTGTGTTCTTCGCAACACAGCCTTTACTATAACTTCCCATTTCTGTTTCCTCCTATGATAGAATTACTGAGCCTAAATTAAAATTAAATTTTATTATCTTTGACCACTAGTTCACATTTTTAGTTTGAATTTGACTGTTCTTGTTTAATTACGTCACCGTGAGCTGTAATTGACTTTGTTAGCATCAGAACATGCCTTTATGTTCTAAGTTCTTTGTCTGATATTGTAGTTACTTTCAGGTACAGTGATAATTTGCTTCACTTCTATCGGGGGGGGGATATTTAACTTTTACCAGATCGAGTAAACCCTCATAGGTTATTTTGTAGGTTATTTCATAGGTTTCATTTATGAAAGAGAGGTTGACAAGTTAGGAGATAAAGCACACAGAAACTAGCGAGAACATTGGTTTGCATATTGAGACAAATTTCTAATTATTGTCAGAAAGGATCGATAATTAAAGAGAAGGAAATCGATATAAACTAGCCAAAATGTTTGGGAAGGCTTGTAGAGACATTAGGTATTTTCTGGTGCTTTAATGGCTTATTGGAAACTTAAAGTATATTAACTCGTTTACAACCCCTGGAACTCTACACAAAGCTGTGACATTAACTGCATTAAGCAGAGCTTGACTAACTTTCAACACTTGCCAATGGTGCCTACATCAGGCCTTTCAGGTTTGTTCCAATCAGCAAGTCTCTCTACAGACAAGCAGCAGAGGGACAACATTCAGTCTTTTGTTATGAATCATGCTGATTATGATCTCACTTCTCATTTTAACCTCTGCCGTTTGATGTAATGTGAAGACTATTTATGGCCATAAAAGTGAATCAAAACTTTAATTTTTTTCATGAAGTACTAAAAGCCACTTACCTTGTATAAGAAATCGAGGTTTCTACGTGTAATTGTATTTAGGCTTCCCACAGCCATTAGCAATTAGTTATGCTGATTTGCTTCTAGATGACCTGCCATATTTCATCAGTTTACTTATACTTGTACTATATTGTATTTTATTCATTTTTACATATTAATTATTACATTTTTCTACAATGGAATTTTTTTTTTGTAATCAGTAAGTAAGAATTCATTTTAATATAATTTCCTGAATGTAACAGAAATATATCGATAACAACACTTAATTTTTATGAAAGATTTTTACAAGAGTGTAAAATTTTTTATGTGATCTTTCTTCCACCTTAAGAACTTTACAAACTTATACTTTAGAGACTTTGAAACTGGACTCGAAATTTAATTTACAGCATCATATTTTGTTCTAGTATTTCTGAATTTCATCTTGAAGCCATTTATTTACTTTCTCATTGAAATTGTAAATATTGTAAAAATTTTTTTGCTAATAATAATATATAAAAACTTCTTTTGCCAAGCTTTTTTCTCCTTAAAGGGGAGAATATGTAAAATATAAAATAAGAAAGGCAATCATTAACAAAATTTTGACAATAGACATTTAAATTTCTGATTTAAAATGTAAATACCCCCTTCGTATCTACCCTACTGATGCCTGCAGTATTCCAAATTGCAAAAGCTCTTTCCCAATGCTCATTCAGGACCGAAACAAAGGATCTGAGCCTTTAAATACTCCAGCTACTTAATTATGCTGTCCTTTTTGCTGCCTGCTCTATCTTGAGTAACCCACATCTTTTTGCCTATGTGCATTTCCCATTGTTTAAAATGTAAGTTTGTATACAAAATTGTGGGGTGCCTATTGCACTCATAATCATGTTAACAAACAATGTATCTCCAGAATTTCTTTATCGAATAATAAAATTATGTTGAATTTGGCCACATCTGATTGCAAATCGATTATTCTATCTACATAATACACTTATCCAACTTACATCTACGCTACCATTGCCAGTCCATTAGAGCTATCACCTGCAGAGTTATCTGGGCTGTGATTAAAACGTGAATTGTTATCTTCTACACTGAATTATATCATTGTATCCTCAAAATCATCACATACACACACATATATATTATATGTAATGTCTTGTAATTAATATGGTATTTTATAATCATCGAACTAATAAGAACTTTTTTTACATAGGCGAACATGTTGTTAAGTTAATGTCACAACAGTCGTGGCTTTTGAGAATTCTTGCAGTAGAGCTAAGAGTTACTTCTGCGCATCATCAAAGATCACATGTTCATCGCCTTCTTAGCAGTCTTCTTGATGACAAACCTCCTGTAGAGAGTGGTATGATCCTGTATTTTAAGTCTTGATAAATTCAAATTACGAAAGTTTTTTTCTAATCTGATTTCTCTGATATATTTTGGAAAAATAAATTTGACAAAGGCTATTAAAAATTATAAATATATAGCAAAAATATATATGTTGAACATTCTAAATAAGCCATGCACATAAAATTTTATTATTTTGAAATACATTCCTATTTCTGACCTAAAAATCTGCATTATTTTGTAGGTGCTGTTGATGTTACAGAGCCATCATTTGGATCAACTAGCAGGTCTTCCTATTCATTTATGAAACCTACAACAGGTATGTCATTAAGATATTCATCTGATTCAAGAGTAACATCCTAATATAAACTTTAAAATTATGTAAAAAGTTAACTTCAGAGTGGCATGTATTATCGAAGTTCATTGTGATCTTACATTTATTATTATATGAAATAAATTAACCACCCTTCCCCCCAAAAAGATATGCAGTTCATAATACAATGTCATCAGAATTGGTTATCATCAAAAATTTGTTCCTCAATAAAGGGGGGGAAAAGGAGGTTGGCAAGATAAATATTTTTTGAGAGGTGGAAGAAACAATTTTTTGTTTTTGTTTCTCATGTTTATTTTATTGTATTTCTATTTTATTCATATGTAGCATTGTTATATTACCAATTTAGGTATTTTCTTTTTTTATATAATTTAATTAGCCTTATTTGTATACTTGCAATAATTTTGTAGGGTGTTATACATACAAAAACATAGACACACATACATATACTGGATTATTCATAATTCCTTCCAGTATTTCATAAGGCTGTAGTAAAACAACAAATGAATACAGCAAAGAAGAACATTGCATTAAATACAGAAACAATTCGACTTTTATGTACAGCCCTTATGGATGTTCTGTGTGTGAATCATAGGTCACACGGCATACATTAGTGCGATAGTCCAATGCCTGTCAGACTGTATTCAACATGGTACTATCAGTAATATCGACAATGCATGTAATACTTTCACGCAGTTCTGCTAAATCACACAGCAAAATGGGTAAGAAAACAAGGTCTTTTACATAGACACAGAAGAAATGTCACATTGTGTTAAATCCGGTGAGCATGGGGCCATGGCAATATTGTGAGATCACCCCATGCGAGATTTCGATGATTTTGCTAGTTTTGTGATTTTCACCCTTTAAACGTTATTTGCAATCCCATGTTCCATTGCATTTTGTGTTCGTCTTGATGAGTAGTATCATCCCTCTAAGTTTGTTGAAGCATTTCAGATACACCCTGTATATATAGATTTTGTAAAACTTACAAATTTTTATTAACAAACTCTATGATTTGGAAGCAAACAGTAGCAACACATTTCGAAATGAAGCATTTTTATCTCCAATACTTGAGACTGTTGCCACTCGGAAAAATGAGTGAGAAAATTAGTGTTTTCAGAGTTTTTAATTAATATAAAGTTCAACTTTCTTGAAAATAAATATTTTACTTAATAAATATTAATATCAAACCGGGAAAATTTTGAAAATTAACCCTGATTTTTGTTGTTTGACTTGTGAATTAGTACTTATTCGGCGTGTTATTGTGTCTTAATTAATATCTTGGCTGATTAAAGTCATGCAAAGTTGGGAATAGTCGAAATGGCTTCCCACGATTTTTTGCGATCGGAAATAATGTATTTAATGTTTGGCAATGCTATTTTTATTTCATTGTAAATAGAGAATTTAGAATTTTTTTATTATTAAACTCTACAACTTGAAAGCGAGAAGTGGTAACACTTCTCGAAATAAAGTAGATTTTTATCTCCAGTGTGCAAGACTGTTGCCATTCGGAAAAATGAGAACAAAAATTGTTGTTTTCAGAGTAATATCTCTAATTTTGAGGGGGAAGTGGACGTCAGGACCCAGAAAATAATTGTAGAAAGTTTGGTGGCCATAGCTATAGTATTGACTGAGTTAATTGCGAACAAACACTCAGACATTCTTCTTTATGTATATATTTAGATAATATATACATAAAGATATGTTACTATATTAATAATCAGTTTAAATATTTTCAGTATATGGATCTTTGGAGAAAATTATTTAAACCATAAAGTGGCATGAATGCCTTTTTCTGGCCATGAGATTTTTTGTCACTTCATATGCATTAGATTACTGTTAAAAATATTTTGCTTTTGTGCTTCCTTTGATAACGTAAATACCATCTTAATGGAAAGAAGTTTATGAAAATGGGGACTAAAATAAGTAATTATAAAAAAATAGGTAATAGGAACTGTTTAAATGCAGATTTTCATGAGCAGATTCATACCTGCCAACTTTTACGAATTTTTCGTAATTTTTACGAAAATGCGTTTGTCTTTACGATTTTACGATCGTAATCCATTTTTTACGATTTTTTTCCTTTTTCAAGTGTTTTTAGTGATTTTTGGTCGAAATTTTAGAATTTTTCGCCAATTCAGCGATTTTCGCCAATTGCATCGTGTTTTACCGCCAACTACCGACTACTTCGAATCCAGTAACCTGCGGTTTCTCCCAACTCGCCGCTTAACCAGCCAATCCAATGCGCTGAACTTGTTTCTCCCACTCCTTTCTTTGTGGGCGCCAGATTATTTTTTTTCGCGTTCGCTTCAGCAGCAAGGGAATTACTCAGCTCGGACTCAGCAAGCGTGGATTGTCGGATTCTGTTTTTTTTTTTTTTTTTGCTTGCACGTGCTACGAATTTTCTTAATACGTCGTTATTACGAAATGAGTTCAAAAACCTTATTCTCAATAGTTTCAGCCTGCCCACAAAGCCGAATTTCCAACAATTAAAGAATCCTTCAAAGGAAATAACTATGCATTTTGCAACGTGTGCGTGTGTGCCTTCATAATAAGTCACAATGGAAGAAGCGACATTGTGAAGCATGTTAAGTCTAAAAATCATGAAGTTAATGCTTCGGCTTCGACAACGTCAAGGAAAGTGGATGATTTTTTTTTTCAAATTTGGCTACGAATTCGGATGCTGATGTCATTTTGGCAGAGTGTTTGTTTACTGCATTCCTCATCGAACACAACATGCCGCAAAGCGCTACCGATCACGCCGGTCAACTTTTCAGATGGATGTTTCATCTTTTGACAAATTGAAAATTCATCTTTTGAAAAGATTCGTTTTTTTTATTGATAAATTTCTATTTTTGTTAACAATTAAAGAAAATGAATGCCATAATGATGCTTTAGATGAACTACAGAACCAATTTTTCTGCTGCACAGTTTGAAGACTTCTTCCAGTTCTGGATAAGATAGACTTGATGTCCTTGTTGGTACCTTAAAAAGAATAAAAAGAGCTTATGGAACACCAAAATATGATAGACTAGCAAGAGTTTTAAGAACAGTTTTAGTATTGGTCCTTTTGGCGATTTTTTGATTTGGCGACAAACTTCGGTCGCCAAGGTAGACCCGGCTTTGAAAATCGGAAAAAAATGGCAGATTTTCAACGAAACCCGATCTAGACTATAAACAATCTTAAAAAATCAGCTCTTGATTAGAATAAACAGTCTTTCTCTAATTTTAAGTAAACATTTCTACTTCTGCTATGATAAATTCCTGAAACACTACCATAAATGAATTTATGGCAGTGCTTATGTTATGAGTAATGAAATTTACAAAAGGTTAATATTTTAAAATACAAAATATAATATTAATATATTAAGTATTAATTTTTTAAGTAATTAGTTAATATTTATATTATATTAGTATTTAGCTAACATTTTAAATTTACAAAAGGTTAATTTTTATGTTATGAATAATGAAAACTACAAAAGGTTAATAAATGCATTTCAAACTAGTATATGTTATTTTAATTTCTTAAATCCTGTTATTAAAAGAAAATAAAACAAATATTTCAAAGGAAATCAAATTAAATTATAACGAGTAAATTTTGTACCAGTGTTAGAAATACTTTATGATTAAATTTTGTAAATGGTAAAACTATTAAGAAGTGTGTATTTTTTAATCCCTCAATTTATTACAATTAATTTATGATTATAATTTAAAAGCTAAAATTAAATTATCATAATGAGTAAATTTTGTACCAATGGTAATCATACACAACAACGATCATCATAACTGATGATTTGTGTGAAAGATTCGAACAGTCATTGGAATCCACTAGTGGTGGAGTAATAAACCACTGAACAGTGACAGTTCAGACTGGCTATATGATAACATTTGTGGCTTTCCTTACATGCAATGTGAATCTGAGCCAATTTCTCTAAAAATCTCCTTTATGAAGGCATCCTTCTGCTAGCCAGCATATATATTTATTTTCTATTCATAAATACTGTTCTCTCTTCTTATTTCTTAATTATAAATCTTTTCTGAACTGAAGTGTTGCATCTATAGGTCAAAAAATATGGTCAATATGTTTGCAAAATCCTCTTCAGTTTTGAACAGCATTTAAATAAAATAAATAATTTGTGTATGATGCAAACAAAAATGCATTACACTATTTCATGTAGTGAATAATTAATCAGGGAACAAAGTATAATGTAACATTCTTTTATTTTGTAACCAGAGTTTTTTTATGTTTGGGATCTTTACTGTCAGTTTTCCCATCTGTTTTCCCACCATAATCCAAATGAAGTTTTTAGTTTGTAAAACAAACCGTGTTTTGCCTTTAGAGGCCACGTTACTAGGTTGCTAGATAACATAAGATTCAGTCCTGCATTATAATTGCTGATAGTTGAATTCCATGCCAGTTGAGTTTTGAACCAGCTTTGCATTAAATTGATTTGTGTAGCCTTAGGCTACAAATTTATTTGAATTTAAATTTAACATTTGAACTTAATTGTTATCATAAGTTATCTTGCCACAAGTGGTTGACTGAGTCGTAAGCACAAAGTGTGCCTTCTGTTTAAAGTGTGCCTACATTTAAAGTTTTTAATAGAATAAGAATATATCTTAATAAAAATATACCTAAACTTTATAATAATTACATTTAAAGACGGTAATAATAATAATATTTACATTTAACTTTATAATAATTACAGTGAAATCAGTATCTAAGTGCTTGCCATGTAGTCAAATTTATATATATAAATTGTACTCTTACTTTTATTATAGAATTTTTATTACAAAAAATTCAGATTTCTGTTAGATTAAATGTTTAAGTAATGTAGAAAATTTGCATAAAATTTAAAATAAAAAGTCTACTGTTATGTCAACATACTATTAATAAAAGTAATAATACTCAGTGAAGGTTATTCATATACAGCTATTAAATTATGAGATATATAAAATTTGAGAACTGTAAATTATAAGCAATATATTCCACAATCTAAGCAATATTACATTTTTTATAGTCAGACAAATTATAAAAATGTTTTAAAAGCAATAATGAAACCTAATTTTTGTCTATGAATTCATGCAATTAGGCATCCCTATAGTTCTAATTTAAGAAATGAGGCAAAAAGTATTTTTAGACCATGGTAATTTTGATTATTGTCCATTTTAAGAAACATCTAAGAAGTCTAAATTTGCATGTGGTTCCTTAGCAAAGGAAACACCAAGAGTTTACCTCATGCTACTAAAAATATGTTTTTTATCTTTGGGGGTGGGGTGGAGTTTATAATATGCAGAGTTGACATATGAAAAAAAAATGTCAAGACTCATCATGTGATGTGTAATATTAAAAGCATCAGTTTTTGGCTTTTTAAAAAATATTTTTAATGTTGTGCTTTAAGTAACTTTAAGAAAAACATGCAATTTATCCCTCCTGCCATCAAAGCCCTGATAGCTACTAAATTCGTTAAAGTTACGTGGACAAATAGCGGCACGTTTTTTCAGCTCAGTATTTATGGTTACCATAAATAACAAGGTTAACATAATTTTTCATTTATCGCTCCAAAAAATGTCGCCAACAAAATTTCTCGCCAAAAAGGACTAATACTAAAGCTGTGCCAGTTTTATGTGCTATTCTCGTAATTCCACACAGTAATGCTGAGTGCGAGAGAGTCTTCAGTGTTGTAAAAGAAAGAACAAACTATGTTTCATTCTTCAATTTCACCAAAAACTCTAGAAAACATTTTAATTGCTAAATGTTATGAGGAAACTAATTGTTATGACAGGAAATTTTCCAAAGAATTTTTGGCTAAAGCCAAAAAAATGCACTCTAAATTCAATGCAATAATTTTTTTGTGTAACATTAAGTTCTTGTTTTATGTTTCCTAATAAATTTTTTAGTTTTACTACTTAACTGAGATTTACTAATGTAAGTACAATTTTCTTTTTTCTATTTGTATAAATTGTTATTTTTTCAATATCAAAGCATGATATTAATTCTTCGTGTTCTTCTGATTTTGGAGAAATCTTCTGAATTTTTATTTTTAGAGGTTGGCAGGTATGGCAGATTCAAAAAGCCATGACACTCAGAGAATTAATTTCTTTGCAATTTATAGCAGAAGTAAAATATTTATTTTCAAGAAAGTTGAACTTTATTATTAAATTTAACCCCTTTAGGGAGCCTCCATGAGTGCAGCATTGTTAACTTCTTCCCTTTTCTTCCAGCTTTCTGTATTGCCGTGAATTATTGTAGGAAAGTAGTGAAATGAGTTATATAGCGTATTTGGCACAGCTTAATCAAACCATTTTACCCCTCCTCCCTCGAAGAAAACTTTGTTGGACTCCTTGAAGAAGATTTTAGCATTATTATTATTATTATTATATTATTATTATTATTATTATTATTATTATTATTATTATTATATTCTGAAGCAAATTGAACAGAATAATAATAAATAATAATAATAACACAATGAAGTAATTAAAAGAGAGCAAAAATTAGCCAATCTTTTTTGCTAATTTTGTTATTTTCCTAGTTAATCTCATTAAACATTGCATTGCATTGCATTAGCTAGAAAATTACCTTTAATTTAGTATTTGCCTTAGCAGACAAAAACATGCACTAATGTGGAATCAAGAATACTAAATTAAATTGCTCATTGATAAAGAAGCTGGTGTTTAAGAATTTATAAATTTTGTGGCAATTTGTACAGCACTGTAGGGAAAGTTTAGGTTATTTTAATAAGCTGCTTTTGAAGTCCATGAAAATGTATTGACAGATATAATTTAATGTATATTACTACAGATCAGTATGTGACTTCTTTCTGCATTGTTGAGTCTGTATTTTATTTGATCAAGAAAGGAAACATTTAAAAAAAATGATATATGCGAAATTTATTTTGAAAATGTTGTGAGCTGAATGTTATGTCAAATTATTGAGGGGCAGTTGATAAAATATGTTAATTTTTATAGCTTGTATGTTTCCTATTAACAGGTACCTTTCGCAGAAAATTCATGAAAATTCTTGATAGCATACAGTTTCATCATAAGATGCCCGATGTTCCTCGTTGGGATTACTTTGAAAATGAAGAGGTTGAGCGTATTTTGAAAGAATGTGAAATTAGAGAACCAGATGGTCCTCGACTAATTGATGTTGAAGAATTACATAACAGATTAGCTGAAGAAACTATGGGGTTACAAGGTGCGTCAGTTATTGGTCAGAGAACAATTATGATGCAGGTTAGTTGCATAAATATAAAAATTCATTTTGAGAGTCATTTTGTGTTACAGTGCCATGCTTAGCTTTCTTTGCAATATACAATTTTATTTTTATAGGAAATATCAAAAGTTTTAGAGTATGCCGTAAGCTGCAATGAAGCACGAGAAGCTGTATTTGCTAAAAGATTGCTATTTGATGCATGGAGACAAGTTACTGAAGTTTTGCTTATTGCATGCCCACTTGAAATGTTAGGAAATGAAAAAAAAGATCAAATGGTTCTTGAACTATCCCAAGAACTGTTATCAAAAGTGAGTTTTCATGAAGTTTTTATTTATACATAATTTATTATATGTTTTCATTTAACTATAAAATCAGATGTGTATAAAGCGTACTAAAAAAGGCCAATGCTTTGTGTCAATGAGTGGAATTAGAAAGTTAATTGTTTTAATTAATTTCTCTGTATTATTATTATTATTATTATTATTATTTTTTGTAAAGATTGGGGCTTGTCATGTCTTTTTCTTTTTTCTTCTTTCTTTTTTATGTAAAAACTTTTGAATATTTTTAGGGAAGAAAATTTCGAAAATCATCATAGTATTAAGTGCTTTTACAAAGTTTCTCCTAACCTTAATTGGCCATATGTGAGATTAATCAGTTCAGCGGAGTTTCTGTGTGTGTGTGTGTGTGGGGGGGAATATTGTTCTACAGATTTGCATCAATCTAGTTCCTATTCACTTAGAAATCTTTCATGATAATAATCGTAGTTGTGTGTAGAGTCGATTCCGGTTAATCAGACCACATCGGGAAGCGATCATTTTGGTCCTAATAACCGGCTGGTCCGATTACACGAACATGTTGTAAGACGGGACGTGCTATATGTAGCAAACAGTAAATGTACATGTAAACTATGCACTAAAATGTAATTATGAACTTTATGGTGTGGTACACACGTATGGCGAACATACGTGTACAAACAAGAAATACAGTCAAACTCTTTTTATTGAGAAAACTAATTTAGAAACAAATTCTAAGAAACAATCTCCACGATACTCAACATGTGAAGCACAATAAAAACAATTTCTTACCAAGTTCCAGTCAACATTTGAAGAACTTATTCCAATGTGATCTGACGCTTTCTCTTGGCGGATTGCACATGAAAGAAATCGCCACAAGCATCTAATGCAGCAATGGGACTGCTTTCATTTCCATCCTGCATGAAATATCGATGCAAAATTTCAATGCATTTTTGTCGCATCCTGTGTTGTCACTTGCACCAACTTATTAGCAGCATCTTTATCATCACTTTCTTGTCTTCTGATGCTGTTGTGTGTTTTGCTGCAACTCGAGCAACAATATAGCATCATAATCTTCATTTTCATCATAGCATTGAAGCTCGTTGTCAATGGATAAAAATTTTTCACAATTTCGTACCTGTTGAAGTTCCACATGTAAATCATCATTTTCGCTTTCAATGCGCATGTCCACATCGATCTCCAAAACCAAGTGCTTAAAGTCGCAGTGAGAAAAACAATTCTGAATTGTCTCACTGCTCACTTTTTGCCAGCTATTGGCCTAATATGTAACTGCTTGTAAGTTGCACTGACTTCGCTGGCTTTTGATGATGAGGTCAGCAAACTTTCTTCAATTTCTTCGAGGATGTAATTAACCAACCTTTCACTATAAAGGGTCTTCCAAATTTTTTATGATGCCCATGTCCATTGGCTGGACCAAAGCTGTGTTTCCTGGGAGGTAGAAATTCCAGTTGGAACGTTCATCAAGGAAAACTAAATGAGGATGTGGTGCATAATTGTCAAGAAGAAGCAGCAACTTTTCGCGATGGCGTTGTAGCTCTCTGTTCCAATCCTTCAGCCATTCTTTAAAAGTTCAGAGGTCATCCACGCATTTCTATTCGCATGATACACAACTGGTAAACTCTCCATCCTAAGTCCTTTAAAGCAGCGAGGCTTAATGCTTTTTCCTATAACCATCAGCTTCCTCTTTGTCTGATCCTGACATGTTTGAGCAGCACAAGTGAGTTACGCGATCCATCGCTTTTTTGAGCGTGAGATTGCAACATGTTTGTAACTTAACGAGCCGTCCAGTGTAGCACGATAGTACAGCCAGTCTCATCAGCATTACTGTAGATGTCATTTGCTGAAAAATTTTCAAGAAGCTCAGGCAGTTTTGTTGATTTCCATTCTTCAGCATTTGCACTATCAGCATTTTCTTTCTCGCCATGTGCTTTCTTGAATATTATGTCATGTCTAGATTTCCATTGAGACAACCAATTGTCCATAGCTTTAAAGTCATCGTAGCCCAGCTTTTAGCGAGTTCTTCTGCTTTGCATCTTAACACTGGGCCGCTTACTCGCACAAATCATCCAGTAACAATGGCAAACCATTCATTAAGGGCCTCATCGACAACTGGGTCCTTGCTTTCACGCTTCCATTTTTGGAAGTTCCTCCTCGTCCTTCACATTGTGCCCATTTTTTTCGCAGCTCATTCTTTTGTTTTATCAAGCACGAAATTGTAGTCTTTGCCAATCCGGTTATTTCCATCAACCTACGCTGACTAGTGTTTTGTGGTTGTTGCTTGATCTTATCCAGGAAACCAATTTTTTTCAGCTAATGTCAGGTCCCATCTTGGCATTTTGGCAGTGGAGACAAGACAGACGCACAGTTCATTGACTAAAGTGGTATGAAGAAACCTTGGTGTTTCAGGTTCAAGATGTTGGAGTCAAGAGGGAGATAAAATGTTCACCATTCAAATTTTTGGCACTAAAATCATCCCAAAAAGGTGACAAAATGATAGCTTTCTCGTGTAAACTTTAATCATGATTGAGAGGCAGGAATTCCTTTTAGGGGGAGCCAGACACTGTATTATTCATTTCCTCGAAACGCAGAGGCGCAGATCAAAGAAAATGGTGCGCACATTCACCTACCACCGGTTTTGCTTTTGTCATGCGCTCTAAAGAATTCCTGACCTTTGATAAAGCATTTTCCTGGGGAGCCGCGACTACAGATCCTCCCATATGTCGCAGACTGCTTGTACATCTGCTGTACGCGGCCGACTCCAACTTGTGGCTTCTGTTTCTTATTTGCTCTCACGTTTTTTGGTCCGATTAAACTGAATTTTGGTCCAAATAAGCAAATAATATTAGGCTTATGTACATAGGATTTGTTTCAGTTCTTTAGGATTTGGTCCGAAAAAGCAGCTGTTCCAATTAACCAGATTCGACTGTATTTAGTTTTGTGTGTGTTTTTTTTTTTTTTTCCTTTCCTTTCTTTCTTTCTTTCTTTCTTTTTTTTTTTTTTCTTTTCTTTTCTTTTTCAAGAAAATGAATGCATTACTCATTTAGTGTCATCTTTCTTGCCTGTAGTGATGATTAGGGGGAACTTTTATTCCATCTGAATAAATTGCTAGAATACAGTTCATATGGACTCTCATAACAGATGGAGGAAATATAGATTGACAAAGCGCTTCTCTGATGAATTGTCATTTGAAATCCTTCTTCATAAACATTGCAGTTTCACCATTGCTACAGAAAGCTATTTAACTAGTATTGTGGTGCTTTGAATTCTGGGATAATGTCTTATTTGTGACACTGTTGTAAGGACAAATGCTTAAATATCGATTTCGCAAACAACCAAAACTATACCTTCCAACTCAAGAAATAAATGCTGATCTGACTCACACTTGTATATTGCTATTTTCAGACCATTCAGAGATCTAACTTCTTTTTGCAGAAAGCTGTAGGATGCCTTCTTAATTCTTTTCTCGTACTTGGTGGGACAGATTTTCTTTTTTAATATACATTTATTTAGGAGTCTAAATATTGCTGTCTTTACATATATTATTAAATCAAGTGTTAATTGATGACTTAATGAGACAAAAGTGATAAAAGTGATTTGAAGCATAAAATTCTGAACACCTTTCTTTATTTCACAGGTTCATTTCATTTTGTCCGTTGCAACATGCCATATTGAATTGAAGATTCTAAATAGTGACAAACACGCCCATTCATTGTCAAATGCACATGTGATGTTGGGTTGCATTCTAGTTATTTGGTAATAATCTTAATTAGGGCTTATTTCTGGGGTAGGCTTTACTGATTATGAGCACCCTGGAAAATCATGCCAGGTTTTTCTTTTAGAGAAACACAGTATATTTGCAAGAGCTGTTCTAGGTAGGATTCTTTTTTGGGGGGGGGCTATTTTTACTTACAAAGAATTATTTTCCCCTCTTCTCTTCTTTTATGATACTTCCGAAATTAATTTGTGAGCTGTTAAGAACTTAAAAATGGTTTTTCACACTACTCTCAATTTTCTTTCAAGTAGTGACACTTCTTACTTCAAGATTTAGAAGTGTAGTTATATCTGAATTGTGTTTATATGATGTCTTAATTTTGTGTCTGAATTTTTAAACTATACCTCTGAAACTATTAAATTTTTCATAACTTGCTAGGATTATTTAAAACCTGGAATGAAGTTTTTTGATTTTGGAAGGCCATATTGTATTTAAACAAGAAATGAGTATTTGTTTGCATGCTGATAATTTAAAATGCATCAGAAGACTGATAATTATTTGACATAAAATTTACTTAACATAAACAGAATTTTGTTATAAAACCAAAAAAGAAGAAAAAAATAGATGATGTGTACCTGAAAACTTTTGTGGATTGAAATTCTGGGTGCTTTCATATTATTGCAATCACTTTTGGTGATTTTTTGCAGATGAAAAGGTAAAAGTTACTTGTAGAGTGAAAGTTGGTGATTTTCATAACTTTAAAAAAAAAATATTCCTAAGCTATCAATGTTTATCGTAAGTTAGCAAACTTTATCAAGATTTCAAAAGAAAACCTACTGTAGCTATTTAAAATATCAATATTTATTGTAAATTAGCAAACATTATCAACATTTGAAAAGAAAACATACTGTAGCAATTTAAAATACAAATTTTAATTATTAAATAAGGATTATATGATGCATTTAAAAAAAGGATGTTCTTCTTCAAATTTTTGTATAATTTCTTTTTGCTATTCTTCTCTCCAACTTCATAGCGATCTGTTTTCACTTTAAAAAAAAATCAGAAAATTGTACAGACTCGGCATTGTGGAACCTCAGCAACAACCCTCAGATGTGTCTACAAAACACATTTCTTTGTTGCTCCCTTTAGAAATTTTTTAGAAACATTCTGTGTACTTGAAGTTTTTACTGCAGTTTCTTCTATTGCTGGGAAATTCCGCAAGCACATGTTTAAAAATTTATTTAAAAAATATCACAATTTATTCTTAAAAGCAGTTGAAACT